GGCTGCCCAGAGAGGTTGTGGAGTCTCCTGCTCTGGAGATCTTCCAAACCCGCCTGGATGCCACCCTGTGCCACGTGCTCTGGGTGACCCTACCGGAGCAGCGGGGTTGTATCTCTGGAGGTCCCTTCCAACCTCAACCATTCTGTGATTCTTTTGTTAACTTGCCTTAATTTTTCCAATACCATTTTACTTCTCAGTTCAAGGAGACTTCCCTCTAGGTAAGGTAGTATTCAGCACAAACAGGTTGTATCACAGAAGTTTATAGAGAGCATCTTCTCTTCCAAAAGACGGACATCAACAAAACTGCCCTATAATGGCACAATCTCAGGATAAAGAACTGAACGAGAAAAAGGAAAAAAAAAAAAGGGGCGGGGGGGAATGTTCCTTGAATGAAGAACAGAGACTTGAAATTCTTACCACAATTTTTCTGATGTTTCAGAAACATTTACTAAGGATGCTGAGGCATAGCAGATAACTAATAATAGCAGCTGGAATTTAGAATTAATTTGAATATCTCTTTGAAAACAGGTGCTTCTTCTGTCATGGCAGCTTCTGGATCTCTGAAAGTGCATAAAGGGCACACTCTGCAAGCTGGTAGGTCTAAGTGGTTAGGAGGGTATGCGTGTGCACATAAGTTTAACTTAATTTAAACTTAAAATGGTAAAAATAATGTATGATTGTAAGACATACTCGTGTTTTTGTTAGAGGGTTTTGTTGGAAAGGCATTGACAGATGGGATAAGTTTAGAAGATGCAGTGACAGATGAGATAAGTGTTGTTGCATAGGCAGTAATCTTATTCACTGCTCTAAAATACTGCCAACCCTTTAACAAAGGACACCCATTAGAAAAAAAAAATCACCTAAGGCCATGACAAATCCTGGAAATCCTGTATGCTAGCAGTGAGATGTGGGGGGAAAAACTTTCTGCTTAAAGATATTTCGTGATAATGGAAGAAAATCACTAACACAAATAAGCAGATGGAATTGTATTTGTAGCCCCAAACCAATCCCAGTATGCTGATACTGTGGGCTTAGCTTGCCTTGTCTGAACTGAGGTGCACTTTGAGGTCATGCACGAAGCTGGGCATCTTTTTCCAGCTTAGTGCTCTGGAAGTGTCAGTGGTGTCGTGTAGTCTGGTTTCTTGTGAAGATGACTGCTGGCGCTTGCAAAGCAAAGTTGTCTTTGGAAGGGCCCGTCCAAGCACTTTCCACAGCGCTTGTCAGAGATGGCGACGTTATCCGTCGTGCTGGAGGTGGAATTTTAACAAGAGTCTTCCAGATGCTCCCACTTCTCCCTGATTCATGCAGTCAAGACTGCTTTGCTCCCACATCCACACAGAGCAAAGCACACAGTTGACTTCAAAGGCCTTTAGTGTGGATACCTGTAAAAATGCCCTAGCACTTATTTCCTTGCTGTTGAACTCATCAGAAAATGCTCAGATCACTACTCCAGAGAAGTAAATGTTAGCCACTGTTTGTCACTTAGGTAATTTTTCAGTATTATTTAGATTTGAAGGTTAGAAGACAAACAAAAATTCATATGCTTTGTTTTTGTCTTGCAATTTATTAAGGCCAAAGCCATTGACAGTGTTTCTGCCTCCTAGGTCCTAAAGGTGGCTGTGAGGTGCCAACACTTTCTGCAGAACCTGGAACTCCTACTAGCCCTGAGGAATCTGGTGAGTAAAGATCTTTGCAACCAAGTGTAGCAGAAGACATTAGTATCTTCTGTTTTTCTCTCTTTATTCTTGCATGTTGTGTGTCTTCCAAATAGTGTTTTTTTCATGGGGTTGGTTTGTGATCCTGTCAGCTTTGCATGCACATGCACACACGCACACAAACACATGTCTCGAGGCTTTGTTTGTAGCATTGGTTGCTTTATTTTCTGCATTGTTTGTATTGCAGATGTCAGAGGATGGTGCTTACATTGGGCCTAAGTGTGAATAAATATTTATTAAAAGACAGGCTGAAGCTCCCATATCAAACATCACTCTTTTCTTCCTTCCCCAACCATGCTATCTTTTTTGTTCTTTTTCATGCTTAAATGCCACCATATTTGTTGTGTTACTTTTCTGGTGCTACAGATTTTAACTTCTTTCTTTCTTTCTTTCTTTCTTTCTTTCTTTCTTTCTTTCTTTCTTTCTTTCTTTCTTTCTTTCTTTCTTTCTTT